GTGCAGTGAGCCCAGCCGCCACGGACGGGCTGGGCTTCTGGCAGAGTAGCACCTCCCACCCCCACCTGATGAGGTTTTCTTAATGCGCCCAAGATGAATAAACGATCCGAGCACCCCCTTACACACACACACACACACGCACACGCACACGCACACACACCTCCCTGGAAGTGCGTGCAAAAGCAGTTCCCAGCCAATGGGGAGGCCGCCTCCCGAGGCTGCTTTAGGGTCCCTAGGCTGACGCTGCGGGGCAGGGGAGCCGGGCGTGTGCGCGAGGGCGGGAGTTTGTGGACCTGGGGAGCCACCTGCCCTTGGAGTTCCTGAAAGACATGCTGGTGAAGCAGAGGACCTTGTGCCATTGGACCTGGCAGACACCCCCAAGCCGATTCATGATCACTTACCTTTTTAAAAAGTGCTGCCTTTAAATGGAGATGTAGGCAAAGACACACATGTCACCAGGCAACTGACTAAGAGGTAAAATTTAAAACGATTCGGGCTGGTGTCCCAAATGATGTTGCTGACTTCCTCCCTGGGGAAGAGAGGCACCTGTGTCCCTCTCTCTCAGGTGCAGTATGGGAGCTGCCTGGGGGGCAGGGAGAGGAAGCAAAGAGTGAAGAGTCGGCCTCAGCATGGCTCATGCTGATGGAACAAAACCTCAATTCTTACCTCTCCCCAGATTTCCTGGTGGAAAGTGGAAACCTGAAGGATGTTTGTATTTACAATTTCCAAGACTGAGGCTGCGGATGGCGCCTCCTAAGACGCCTCCCCGGCCCTGTGTAATTGGCGCGGATGGTGGCCCCAGCCTTCTCTTGACTGGCTGCAGTCTCCACAGAGATGAAGTTTTCCAGGGATCCATTTTATTCACAGGTGGAGAGCCTAAAGGGACACTGAACAGACTGCAGAAAGCACACGATGACTGAATCGGGAAGCCTCTGGGACTTGGTGCCTACCGAAGTATTTTGCACAGACATGGGCAATGAATTATTTTGATGGCAGTAAAATGCGGCTGTCACCTCTTTCAGATATAACGCTGAGACTTTCCCCACAGGAAAGCTTTTGATCTTTACTTTGCGGGAACATGCCCTAACCCAGTAGTGCCGAATTAGGATTCCAACAATTGCAAGTGATAAATACCACAAACCCTTAAGCCTATATCCCTTCAGCTCTCCAAGTAAGACTGGACCCAATCTTTGCCGTCCATGAGTTCTGGGAGTTACTGGCCAGCCTTTTCAGTATAGCAAATAAAAGTTAGCTTTCGCACAAAGTGTGAAATTATATAGTAGGTGCTGCTGTCAGCTATGAGACAGAAAATATTACTTCTACAAGGCACTCCTGGTTCATCATCCCCCCACACACATTATTCCTGTGGTCTCTCCCTTCTTCATTCGAGGCTGAAATCCAGTGCAAAAAAAAGGTGCTTTCATGCTGCAGTGGGGCAAATGCCCCCCTGAAACTGCATTCATACAGCCTCCCCCCGAGTTGTCTCCATGCTCCCCAGTGCTTCTTCAGCTACCTGTCCAAATCCCCTCCACTTCTCATTTCCACTTCGCTTTAACAACTTATTTGTGGTTCCCTGTTGAGCTCATTTTCTCGCAGATCCCAAGCCACTGCACTTGACTAACCATTAGCTGCTCTCACAGTGAACACCATCACCAGAGGGAAAGAAACAGGAAGAGCCCACCGCACTGGGGAGCAGGTTGTATTAACCATCCAAGAAAGTTTGGCTGGTGCAGCTCTCACTAATTTGCAGTTTTATTGTGAGGCTCCCTGGTAGCAAGTGGCAAGCACTGGAACTAGAATTGGGGGTGGGGTGGGGGTGTCAAAGCTGAGGTCAAGGACAAATGGTGGGTGCTCTTGCTGCCAATGAGCAGCCAGCTGGTCAGTCCCATGGTCAGGAGGAGTCACAGACTAGTGCCTCACAGCTCTCAGAAGCAGAAAGCTGGAGAAAGCTTTACACTCATAGTCTGAAGACAGGGATTCAAGTTAGAGCTCTGCCCTTTATAAGCAATAAAGTCACTCTGGGACTGTCTTCTCACCTGTGAAATGATACTATAATGCCTACATTCTACATAATTATATGAAACTGTATTACTACGTGTGCTGTTCACCTATGACACCTTTTAAGCATCATTATCAGATACCTCCCTATAGAGAAGAGTGTGGCTTTTTCTAACAAATGGGCATGACATACCTTAGCCTCTCCAGTGCTCCCTATTTGCTTGAATATAATCACCTTCTGGATGTCTCCTGTGTGATACACTAACACCGTGGTCGGCAAACTGCGGCTCGCAAGCCACATGCGGCTCTTTGGCCCCTTGAGTGTGGTTCTTCCACAAAATACCACGTGCAGGCGTGCACGTACAGTGCGATTGAAACTTCGTGGCCCATGCGCAGAAGTCGGTATTTTGTGGACGAGCCACACTCAAGGGGCCAAAGAGCCGCATGTGGCTCGCGAGCCGCAGTTTGCCGACCACTGCACTAACACATTAAACCCAAAGCTTCTCATTGCTTATAGTTTTCCCACAAACCAGCATTTCTATTGAACTCCAGCTTTTCCCTGCAATGGCACCCATATCCCCAGCTGGGAGCCTCAGCTCAGTGCCATCTCTGACTCCTCACCCCAAGGTCAATTAACAATACAATGGGACTGTCCTGAGTTCCCTCCACTGTAAGTTATTTGGCGCAGCTCCATCTTTAGAACCACAAGGCTGGAAGACCTCTAACATGTCATCCCAAAACAGTCCCAGCCAACAGTCCCCGGGGTTCATCGAGCTCCAGAGAAGACCCATTCCCTGGAGAAGGCCACTCAACCTGTAGACAATACACATGATTAGAAAGGTCTTTGCGTTGAGCCAGAAATCTACCTTCTCATACTTTCTCCCTTTCTTCTTACTCCATTAGTGATAGGAACCATTCTTGAACTAGCTGCCAGGCATGGAGGATACAACAGAAAACAAAACCGAGTTCCCTACCCTCATGAAATGTATATTTTAGTGAGAGAGAGGGACCATGAAAGACAGATAAATTATATAGCCTATCAGACAATGAGAATTGCTGTTTGGGACCACAAAGACCATGCCTGAAGAGACCACAGGACATCCCTTCAATCCCAGTATCCCCGCTCTATTTTCCAGCCCATAGGCTAGTGATGGCGAACCTATGCCACGCGTGTCAGAGGTGACACGCGAACTCATTTTTTTGGTTGATTTTTCTTTGTTAAATGGCATTTAAATATATAAAATAAATATCAAAAATGTAAATCTTTCTTTTACTATGGTTGCAAATATCAAAAAATTTCTATATGTGACACGGCACCAGAGTTAAGTTAGGGTTTTTCAAAATGCTGACACGCCGAGCTCAAAAGGTTCGCCATCACTGCCATAGGCCATGAGAACTGGACACCCCAGGAAGGACCAGGGTGCTCTTTGATTAGCCATGGGTTTGTTCCCTCAATAAACGCAGTTACTACAGAAGCCAGCCTGGCCTGCAGAACCATTCTTCCAAACATCCACTGGACCTGTG